AGTGTATTAATTCCAATGTTTTTAATTATTGGAATTTGGGGATCACGAGAACGTAAAATTAAAGCATCATATTTATTTTTTATGTATACATTAGCAGGTTCATTATTTATGTTTATAGCCATTATTCATATATTTTTAACTGTGGGTACTACAGATTATCAAATATTATATTATAGTAATTTTAATTTTTCATATGAAAAATTTTATTTTTTAGCTTTTTTTTTGACATTTGCTGTAAAAGTTCCTATCTTACCATTTCATATATGGTTACCTGAAGCGCATGTTGAAGCACCTACTGCAGGTTCTGTATTATTAGCTGGTATTTTATTAAAATTAGGATCTTATGGTATGATTCGATTTTTAGTTCCTTTATTTCCAAAAGCAACTTTATTTTTTACACCATATATACTCTTATTATGTTTAATATCTATTATTTATGCTTCATTAACAGCGATTCGTCAAACAGATTTAAAACGTATTATTGCTTATGCTTCTGTTGCTCACATGAATTTTATTATTTTAGGTATTTTTTCATTAACCGTTCAAGGTTTAGAAGGAAGTATTATTCAAATGATTAGTCATGGTTTAGTTTCTAGTGGATTATTTTTTTCAATAGGATGTCTATATGATAGATATCATACTCGTTTCATAAATTATTACGGAGGTTTAGCACATACAATGCCTTTATTCTGTATTGCTTTATTTATTTACATATTAGCTAATATGGCTATTCCTGGTACAAGTAGTTTTGTAGGTGAAATTTTAATCTTAACAGGAATTTTTGAAGATAATACCACAACGGCTATTTTTGCAACAATTGGAATGTTTTTAGGAGGTATTTATTCTTTATTATTTTATAATCGAATTTGTTACGGTAATATTCAAAATTTTTATTTAAAAATTTATTATGATTTAACTTATCGTGAATTTTTAATACATTTAATTTTGATTGCAAATATTTTTTTATTAGGTTTATATCCTAAAATTTTTGAAAGTTGTTTACATGAAAGTGTATCAAAAATTTTAATACATATAGATTTTTCTTATTTTTATTAAACAAAATATATTTTGTTTAATAAAAAGCCCTTTTAGTCTAATGGTTAGGACCTTGCCTTTTCACGGCAAAGATACGAGTTCAATTCTCGTAAAGGGTATAAAAATATATATTTAATATATTTTTGATCAAATAATTATAATTTATTTATATATTAAATATTTATAATTATTAAAATATGATAATTTAATAACCTTTTTATGGCTATTGAATTATCATATATACTGGAATCAAATATTAAAAAATATAAGGATGAAAAAAGTTTACAAGAAACAGGTATTGTTCTTTCAATGAGTGATGGTATTGCTAGATGTTATGGTTTAACAAAAATTCAAGCCGGTGAAATGGTTGAATTTAATAACGGTAATATAAAAGGTATGGCTTTAAATTTAGAACCTGATGTTGTAGGGGTTGTTGTATTTAGCAATGACCGAGAAATTCAAGAAGGTAATTTTGTAAGAAGAACAGGTTCAATTGTTAGTGTACCCGTAGGTCCTGAAGTTTTAGGTAGAGTAGTTGATGCTCTAGGACAACCTATTGACGGTAAAGGTCAAATAAATAGTAAATTAGAAAGTCGAGTAGAAGTAAAAGCTCCAGGTATTATGCCTAGAGAAAGTGTTAAAGAACCTGTACAAACAGGTTTAAAAGCTGTAGATAGTTTAATTCCTATTGGTCGTGGTCAACGAGAATTAATTATTGGAGATAGACAAACAGGTAAAACTTCTATAGCTATTGATACAATTATTAATCAAAGAGAACCTCATTTAAAAAAAGATAAAAATAATCAATTATATTGTATTTACGTAGGAGTAGGCCAAAAAAGATCTACTATTGCGGAATTAACAAAAACTTTAGAAGAAAAAAACGCAATGTTCTTTTCTGTTATTGTAGCAGCTACTGCTTCTGATTCAGCTCCATTACAATATTTAGCCCCATATACAGGTTGTGCTTTAGGTGAATATTTTAGAGATAATGGAAAACATGCTGTTATTTTTTATGATGATTTATCAAAACAAGCTGTAGCATATAGACAAATGTCTTTATTATTAAGAAGACCTCCAGGTCGAGAAGCTTATCCTGGTGATGTTTTTTATTTACATTCACGTTTATTAGAAAGAGCTGCTAAAATGAATAGAAAAATTGGTGGTGGTTCTTTAACTGCTTTACCTATTATAGAAACTCAAGCAGGTGATGTATCAGCGTATATTCCAACTAATGTAATTTCTATTACTGATGGACAAATTTTTTAGAAACTGAATTATTTAATGAAGGTCAAAGACCTGCAATTAGTGTTGGATTATCCGTAAGTCGTGTAGGTTCTGCTGCTCAAATTAAAGCTATGAAACAAATTGCTGGTACCATGAAATTAGAATTAGCTCAATTTAGAGAAGTACAAGCTTTTGCTCAATTTGGTTCAGATTTAGACGCTACTACTCAACAACAATTAAATAGAGGAGTTCGTTTAACTGAAATGTTAAAACAGGATTTAAATATTCCTTTATCTGTTGAAGATCAAATTGTAATTATTTATTTAGGTGTTCGTGGTTTTTTAGATAAAATTGCAGTAAATAAAATTTCAATTTTTGAAACTAATTGGTTAAATTTTATTAAAACTAATAAATCAGATATTTTAGAAGAAATTTTAACTAAAAAAGAAATTTCAAAAGAATTAGATAAAAAATTACATATTTTAGCAACAGATTTTACAAATAATTTTATAACTAAATAAAATTTTAATAAATAATAAATAGAATTCATTAAGAAATTTTATTTACATTTTATTTTTTTATTAAGTAATTTAAGTAATTATTATAAAAATTTTATACATATATGAAACAACTTTTTGTAAAAAATATTTTAAATTTTTTAGAATTAGATGATCTTCTTACAGAAATCGCATCTAATCAAATAAAAATATTAAATACTTTAGAAGAAATTCAACCTTCTCAACTTAACAATAATAATTTAATTGAAAATCAAGATATAAATTATAATTTAAAAAATATTTTTTGTTATACTCTAGGAGCGGTAGTAATTATAGGTATTATTTATTATTTTACTTCCGGAGGTGGAGATGCAGAAACAATTAATAATATTTATTCAAATATTAGTCACGAAATTATTGAAAAAATAAATATAAATACGACTATTACAGATAATAATATGAAACATATGTTAGATACAATGATAATAAATGATAATCATTTAGTAGATGTAATTAATAGATTACTTATAAAAAATAGTGAACAAATCCATAAAACTCTATCTATTCGAATATTCAATGCTATTCTAAAAAATGGTCGATCTTTAGAAGATATAACTAAAATTTTAGAAAATACAACTTTACCAACAAATGTTGGTAATATTACTACTAATTTAAAAAAAGTTGTTTTTTCAGATGAATCTTAAAAAATTGTTTTTAATAAAATATTAAATAGTAAAATAATTAAAATTTTTGAAGTTAGTTTATTAAATTCAAATAACTTTTATATATTTAGGATTACCAACTTTTGGTGTAAAATTTCAAAAACAATAACGAACCTTTTTGATACAAAAAATTAAAAATAATTAATTTATAATTATTTTTAAAATATAATAAAATCTTTTTAGATTATAATTAAATAGTAAAATAAAACAAAAAAAAATATGGGAATAATGAAATATTTAAAATTTACGTTCAAAAAATTTTTAGGATTAGATAATGATTATGAAAATTTATTATTAAATCAAGATAAAATTATTGAACAATTGCAACAATTGGAAAAATCTGAATTAAAAAGTCAACAAACAAACTATTCAGATTATTTAAATTTAAAAAATTTATTAATATTATTAATTTTATTAGGTTTTTAGGTGGAGGTTTTTGGTTATATAATACCAGTTTTTTTAATGATTCAATATTAGAATCTATTAAATCTTTAGGTAATTTATCAAAGGATTTACAGAAATTAGATCAACATAGTATTTTAGAAGCTTTAAAAAAATTAAATGAAAATTCAGTTCATTTATCTAAAAAAGAAATTAAATTATTAATAGAAATTAAAAATTTATTATTAAAAAAAAGGAATTGATGAAAATCCTTCATTAAAAACACCTATTGCTGGACTTTTTGATAATAAAAAAATAGTATGGAATGAATAACAAAATATGAGAAGAATCGAAGACATAATAACGCAAACAACAGAGACTACCTCTACACAAATCAATTTTCCTAGTACATTTAGAATGATATTAAGACCAATAAGTCCTATAGGAATAAATAGTTTTCGTGAAAGATTAGAAAATAGTATAAATAATATTGAATGAAATAGAGTACCTTATATGACTCAAATTAAAGATATTCAGGTAATTGATATTGAAATCATTATCATTATATATAACAATAAATAATTTAATAAGTTCTATAAGAAAAAATAAATTTATACAAAACATAGTAATTATTTTTTTAATTTATTTATTAAAATAACAATTAAAATTTTTAATATATATTTCAATAATATATAATAATAAATTTTACATAAATATAATGTATACATATATTTTAATTTAATAAAATATTATAAATCTAAATTTAAATTCCCTTTTATTAAAAAGTATTTTAAATAAAATTTTATTTTTATAACTTGAATTTAATTAATTTCAGATTTTATAAAATTTTTTGATTTATAATATTTTATTAAACTAAAAACAGGAAAAATGGGATTTGAACCCATAACAACAATTTTGGAGACTATGATTTTACCAATTAAACTATTTTCCTAACATGTTAAAATTAATTTAAGAATGTTTTAAGATCTCTTCCAGACACAGGTTCCCCTACGACTACCTTGTTACGACTTCATCAAAGTTACTAATTACTTTTTAGGAATCCTATTTTTTTTAATTTATATTATAAATTATTTTAATAAAATAATTATTTAAAATTATTAAAAAACTAAAAATTATTTTAAAAACAATCAACTTCCCTGATGTGACGGGCGGTGTGTACAAAGTCCAGTAACATATTCACCGCAACATGCTGTTTTGCGATTACTAGCGATTCCAGCTTCATAAGGGCGAGTTTCAGCCCTTAATCCGAACTAAGATAATTTTTAAAGATTTGCTCCAACTTTAAAATTATTGCCTCTCATTGTAATTATCATTGTAGCACGTGTGTAGCCCAACTCATGAGGGCCATGAAGACTTGACGTCATCCCCACCTTCCCTTAACCTATCATTAATTTTTTCATTAGAGTACTTTTACTTTTATAATAAATTAGTAACTAACAATAAGGGTTGCGCTCGTTAAAGGATTTAACCAAACATTTCACAACACGAGCTGACGACAGCCATGCAACACCTGTTCTTTATATAAAATTTTATAAAAAAATTAGCAAGAGTTGGTAAGGTTCTGCGCGTATTATCGAATTAAACCACATGCTCCACCGCTTGTGTAGACTCCCGTCAATTCCTTTGAATTTCAATCTTGCGATTATACTTTTCAGGCGGAGTGCTTAACGCGTTAGCTGTTATATCTAAAAATTTTCTAAATATTAGCACTCATCGTTTACGGCATGGACTACCGGGGTATCTAATCCCGTTCGCTACCCAAGCTTTCGTTTCTCAGTGTCAGTATATACCCAGATAATTGCCTTCGCTATAGATCTTCCTTCTATTATCAACATATTTTATCACTACAATAGAAATTCCATTATCCTCTATTTATACTCAAGTTTATCAGTTTTGAAAAAATGTATAAAGTTGAGCTTTAATTTGTTTCTTTCAACTTAAAAAACCACCTACAAACTCTTTACGCCTAATCATTCCGAATAATGCTCGCTCCTCCCGTATTACCGCGGCTGCTGGCACGGGTATTAGCCGGAACTTCTTTTTTAAGTACTGTCATTTTCCTCCTTAATGAAAGAGCTTTACAACCTAATTAGCCTTCTTCACTCACTCGGTATTGCTGGATCAAGCTTTCGCTCATTGTCCAAAATTCCCCACTGCTGCCTTTAAAAAGTTTGGGCCGTGTCTCAGTCCCAACGTGGCTGATCGTTCTTTCAAACCAGCTAAAGATAATAGGCTTGGTAGTCTTTTAAACTACCAACTACCATAATCTTACGTAAACTCATCTTTTAACGTTATAAAAACTTTAATTTGATTTATTCAGTATTTTTATAAAAATAATTATGCTGAATTAAAAGGTAGATAATTCACGTGTTACTCACCCGTTCGCTATGTTTTTAAAACATTCAACTTGCATGTGTTAAGCATACCGATAGCATTTATTCTGAGCCAGGATCAAACTCTATTTATATTTTATAAATAAATATTTAATTATAATTTTTAAAAAAACAAATATTTAAATTTTTACAATATAACATTCCTATATTAATCTTAATTTTATCTTAAAGGATAGCTTTTTCCATATTTTAAAAAACAGGAAAAAATCAATAGAAAAATTTATGATTTATTTTAAATAGTATACATCTTCTTAAAAATTATGGAGAAAGTAGGATTTGAACCTACGTAGAAATTATTTCAACAAATTTACAGTCTGCCGCCTTTAACCACTCAGCCATTTCTCCTAAAATAAATTGTGATTAGTGGGACTCGAACCCACAATATTTACTTGGAAGATAAAGGATTTACCAATTAATCTATAATCACAGATAAAATAAAATTAAAATGTCAATACTATTATTATTCCCATTAATATTAAAAAGGAAATACCAAAAACTGCCTATGGGTCCATTTTATTTAATTTAAGCAAAAAAAGGGACTCGAACCCTCAACATTAACCTTGGCAAGGTTATACTCTACCATTGAGCTATTTTTGCTATTATTTTATAATACAAAAAGTGAATTTAATAATAAAAATAAAATATTTTTATCTGTACTATTTGTATGAATTGAGATATCAATTGGTGGTATATTTTTAAATTTAAAAAATTCAGTTTTTAACTCAAAAAAATCTAAAATATTTGTAATTTGAAAATTTAAAATATTTTTATTTTTAACATTTATTTTGAATTTATTAAAATTAGGTAAAATAAAAATTATTAATTTTTCTAAAAAAATAAACATATTTTTTTTTCTTAAAGTTACTTTACAACCTATAATTGAATTTTTTTTTATTTTTAAAAAAATAATATTTTTTTTTGATTTAGTTAATAAAGGTTTTTGATTTGTTATTAATTTTAAAAGTAAAATTATATTAATTAATTTTTTTTTTTCAATATTTGCGTCTTTAAAACCTATATTTAAACAAATTTTAGTAATTTTAACAATCTCAAATATATTTTTAAAATTTAATTTTGTTAAAAGATCGTATATAGTGACATTTTGGTAATATTTTTGTAAATTGGTTTTCATAATTTTTATAAAATATTTGAAGCTAATGATAAAATTTTGAAATTTTTTTGTTTTCGAAATTCTGAGGTAATTGGTCCAAATATTCTTGTACCTAAAGGTTTATTTTGATTATTTAAAATAATTAAACAATTTTTATCAAATTTAATCATATTGCCTATAGTACTAATTTTTTGATATCGTGTATGAATAATTAAAGCTTTAAATAAATCTCCTTTAACTATTTTTATTTTTTTTTTTTGATTTAAACGTAATTTTTTAACAGAAATTAAAATAGTATCTCCAATTTTTCCAAATTTTTTTTTTATAAATCTTAATACATTGTCCTATTTTAATACCACTATTATCGTTTATTTTTAATTTAGTTTGAATTTGAATCATAAATTATTTTAATATTTATATTTGATGAGAGTAGGATTTGAACCTACATCTTCAGATTATGAGCCTGATAAGTTAACCTGTTACTCTATCTCATCTTATTAGTTAATTTCGGAAGAAAAGGATTTGAACCTTTGATCTTTTGTTCCCAAAACAAACGCATTAGCCAGACTATGCTATCTTCCGTTTAAAAATAATAATGTAATGATGGTAGGATTTGAACCTACAACATTAGGATTATGATTCCCATGCTCTACCATTAAACTACATCATTTTAGTTTATCCTTATTATAAATTTAGTAATAAATAAAATAAGTCGAAGTGGGATTTGAACCCACGAGTTAATAAAATTAACTGATAGTTTAGCAAACTACTGCCTTAAACCAAACTAGGCTATTCGACCAAAACATAAAAACTTCTTTGATAGGATTTGAACCTATAACCTAATGGTTAACAGCCATTTGCTCTACCATTGAGCTACAAAGAAATAATTATATTTTTAAACTTTTAGTATTTTTAAGCTAAATATTTTACAATACTTACACTTTAAACCTATCAATGTAATGATCTTTTACAGTTTTTATATAAAAAATTTTTAAGAATGGTTTCTTACTTAGATGCTTTCAGTAATTATCCAAAATAAATTTAGCTACTCGGCGATGCTTTTCAACAACCTATACACCAGAGATTTACCCTTCTCGGTCCTCTCGTACTAGAGTTAGATTCTTTCATTTTTTAAAATATCTATAGAAGATAGGAACCAAACTGTCTCACGACGTTCTAAACCCAACTCACGTACCACTTTAATCGGCGAACAGCCGAACCCCTTGGAACCTTCTTCAGCTCCAGGATGTGATGAGTCGACATCGAGGTGCCAAACGACTCCGTCGATAGGAGCTCTTAGGAGTCATCAGCCTGTTATCCCCGGAGTACCTTTTATCCGTTGAGCGATAATCTTTCCACAAAGAATTATCGGATCACTATGACCGACTTTCGTCCCTGTTTGATATGTCTATCTTACAGTCAAGCAAGCTTTTATCATTATACTCTACAATTGATTTTATTAATCCAATTTGAGCTTACCTTTGTACACCTCCGTTACTCTTTAGGAGGTGACCGCCCCAGTCAAACTACCAACCATACACTGTCTATTTAAAAAATATTAGTTATTTATTTTAATAAGAGTGGTATTTCAAAAATATCTAAACAATTTACTAGCGTAAAAGTTTTAACGATTACCACTTATACTACACATATTATATAAAATAACAATATAAAGATGTAGTAAAGGTTCACGGGGTCTTTCCGTCTAACTATAGAGAATCCGCATCTTCACGGATAATTCAAATTCACTGAGTCTATATTGGAGACAGCGGGGATGTCGTTACACCATTCATGCAGGTCGGAACTTACCCGACAAGGAATTTCGCTACCTTAGGACCGTCAGAGTTACGGCCGCCGTTTACTGGGACTTCCATTTAATGCGTAAACATTTCCTTTTAATCTTCCAGCACCGGGCAGGTGTCAGACCCTATACATCATGTTACCATTTAGCAGAGTCCTAAGTTTTTATTAAACAGTCGCAACCCCCTATTTTGTGACACCTAATTAAAAAATTAGGTACTTTTTATCCCGAAGTTACAAAGTCATTTTGCCGAGTTCCTTCAATATAGTTCTCTCATTCACCTTAGTCTACTCGACCTATCCACCTGTGTCGGTTTAGGGTACGGTTTTTAATTAAAAAGTTATTTCCTGAAAAATTTAAAATTTTTGTCACTTTTTAAAAAAATTTAATTTAAAAATTATCCCATCAAAATTTGCTTTCGTCAAATCTTTCTTAGGGGCCGTTTCACTCTAAGCAATTAATTTTAACATAGAAACCCTTGGATTTACGGTGATAATGATTCTAAATCATTATTTTTTGTTACTAATGCCAGCATTTTCTTTTCTGATATCTTCAACATATTTTACAATATATCTTTATTAACATACAGAATGTTCCGCTACCGTTTTATTTTTAAAATAAAACTTGCCGTTTCGGTAAATTTCTTAAGTCTCGATACATTTTAGGCGCAAAAAAACTAGACCAATGAGCTATTACGCTTTCTTTAAAGGATGGCTGCTTCCAAGCCTACCTACTGGTTGTAATAATTTTTTCACTTCCTTTTTCACTTAGAATATTATTTTGAGACCTTAACGATCAATCTGGGCTGTTTCCCTTTTGACAAAAGACCTTAGCGCCTAATGTCTGTCTATTTAAATTACGTTTTTTTGTATTCGGAGTTTCCAAGAATTTAGTAAGTTTTTACACCCCTTAGCTCA